AAATCATTCACACCACATACACATATAATCCATTTTATTTAGCATGCATAATCACATACTTCCAATTAATTCATGTTTATTAACACATAAACACATAATGTACCTTAACCCAATATGTCTGAAAGTCTGGTTATCACAGCTTAATCCATACATACAATTTACTTAATCCATACAATGTTTAATAATAATAACCAAACGACCCTAAACCTCCCTAACCACTTAATCATTCTGCATCAAAACATTATTTATTTTATACCTAACAGCCTTTAAGACAAACTTCTTTACATTTTGATCTATTTTGCACTTGTATATTTATAGAACATTTTTAGGTCAAGCCAAACATTCACCAAGTTTTTAATGGAGATCCGAGACGGATAAAAATCTTCCGTCTTAAATTTTCATGTCTCATTCCTTCCTACCAATCACATGAATACATATCATCAGAGTGAGAATGTGAATTTGAATAAAACAAATTTAAAATATATAAAAATCTGATGTATTTTAATTTCATTAATGAGATAGTCAGACAGGGATTGAGATATGATTTGGGGAAAGCAGCTTTTATTCCACCAGAGACCATTTAAATAAACATGTTATGAACGGTACATAAAGCCATGATAAACTTCAAAGACTATTAGCTGAACCAATCAGCTCATCTTGATGAAATATAACCTCACAAGTACACATAAAGCAAGTTTTCAAGAACAAAGAACAAAAGTAGTGAAAAACAAATGATCTGAAATCTTATGACGAATTAACAAAGCGTTGAGCAGCGGTTAAACTTAGCTCCTCAAAGACCTGAAAAAATAGACAGACGATCCAAGGTGAGTTCGCTAAAGATCATATAATTTGAAACAGGAATAGGAAGTTGAGATGTGTACATACAAGTTTCCTGTACACATGTTGGAACGCCTTCACGAACTCCTCTGCATCAGCATTACCGACCTGTAACATGATGGTGAGATTCACACTTGCTTTCTTGATTGCAATACAACCAAGGGCATGTTTATTAGCAGCTTAATAAGCTTAATGGGACTCGCAACTTATTCGGTCAGCTATACATGACTGTTTGGTAGTGGTAGAAAGTTGCTTATTCAGTAAGCTTCTAGGGGTTGCTTTTATGCAAAAAGCCATGTTTTTTCCGAGCCTACTCCTTCAATTTTTAAAAAACACGCTCCTTCCATCTACGAAAAAACCTTGTCAAACAAAAAACTTCCCAATCTTTACAGACAGTTTTATTCATACATGACTTAATGGAAAACCAACCAAACAACCCCTAACATGATACAACAATGATTGCAAATTTGAAATAAGGATTGGATAGTTCATCAAAGATAAGATTAAATAAACCATGCTGCATATGCTAGTAACAAAGCTGCACACACCATCTTTCATGCTAACCTTCAAAGACCACATTTTTCCTTTGATGCAGAACCATTAAGTTAGAGCATGAAATTTCAGTAAAGAATGGGTTAAGACAAATACATGTTAATAATTGTGCCAAACTGGTGGAAACACACTTATTTCCAACAATAAGACCGTATCACCTATGTGGTGCCTTGAGCCATGGTGGTGCATCAAATCAAGAGCATTTGCACACAGAGCGTTGGCATGAGAACGAATGAGCAGGTTCATGCCTGGCCCATTTAGTGAAAACCTCAAAATTGCAAGTATTGGTTCTTTTTGGCTTACCCTACTCCCACAGAGTGTTCTAATACAATACGCTAAGAATATATAAGAAAACCCTATGACCTAGTCACTTTCTGCATGAAAGACATAAACAATATCAAGAATACAATTGTTGTCATGACAAGCATGCTCCGCTATAGTCGAGTAACTCGTCTTTTCAGTGTTTGCAATCAGTAGCAATCCTACCTTGGAAACATCAAACATGCAGAAGATGAAAGCCGAAAAGTTGCTCTTTCAAAGGAAAAGTATTCTCTGCTTGCAGTAAATAAGATATTCTATGCTTCAAAATGGAACTTTTAACTTTGGATATTGATAATTCGTAACCTTGCATAAATAGAGCGCAAGATGTTGGATGGCGAGTGTTTTTCCCTTTAAACCACCATGAAGGCTTGCACCTTGTGTTATTTGTGAAGATGCTATGAATCACTCCCCAAGGGACAAGAACAAAAGAACAGGAAATTAGTAGTTTATAACCCTAATGTTTAGTGAAAGGACAAGGATGGACTGATTCCTTGATGGATCACAAACAAAGATGCTCCCCTTTAAATAGGAGTCTCCAATTTAGATACAAGAGCATTCTGGAACTAGAATCCTTCTAGGTACAATAAGCTTCTAGGTACTACTATAAGATGTGTCTTGATATGGCCCACTTCATGCACTACAAGAAAGCTCATTAGAGCACCCCATTTATCTGCCTTGTCACACTATTTAGGTTTGGAAATAGCCCAAAATTCGAAGTCATCCTCAATACACGCAACCAGTCCACTCCAAGAGACCACTGATCGATCATGCTCGTCTCATCCTTATCCCTTTGTGTCCACTACCAAAGATTAGAGTTATGCCAATAGAGTGACCCTAAGTGCTACTCCAACTTAATCTGATTGGTTAATGAATTAAGAGTTAAGATCCCAATAGAACATCAAGACTTTGGCAACTTGGCAACTACCCAAACTAAAAATGAAGTCAGAATCACACAAAATGATAAGCAAAAGAACTCTCATTGGTATACAATAGAAATAGCCTCGGAGCTCTCCCCAGTGAATTCGTAACTTTGGGCTTGTTATTTGGTCCCTCGTAACACCTGATTTTGTGCATATTGCTCCATAGGATTATATTTTGGGGGTCACTGGAAACAGTCAAGTGAGACTAGAAACATAAGTGTTGAAAGGGAATGATCATGAAGATGATAGAAGAAAGAGATGCCCTAGGCTACATCTATGTTTCCTCTTCTTATATCCATACTATGTTATGAATGTATATGGATACATGAATAGGCTAGGATATTTGTGGATAAACATTTTCTTGTCAAACAACCCCTAGAGAAGAAACTAATACGCTAAAATTTGATAGCAGGTAACAACTTAAACCAGCACCCTAAAAAACACCATCTATTAGTGAACATGTGTACTGTTATAAAAATTGCAAAAAGTCCCCCATAGTTTTCTACATTCTCCATGACTATATTCAATAATATATTTTTGAAAACTTAATTTTTGTCCCATCCAAACTGTCATTTACAGGAATTGGTGTACTGCATCCACTTCAAAGCACATGCCTAGCACATCTATGCAGCATAGGCAGGGATCTAACTAGAACACAGTTTTCCATGAAGGTAGAGATCAATGCATTAAGTTGAATCATTCAGCTTAATCAGAGCGTGGAATGTAATAGAAAGCAGAGTACCCAAAGCAGCAGCAGTGACACCTTTCCCATCAGTATTCAAAATTGTTACGACACCATGGCAACTTATGGTGGTGTTGAACTACCAGGATGGCATATTGACACATCCCCCATGTCATATATATGCCATAAGGCATCATAGAAAATGAGTTCACATGCTATTTTTGCTTTGACAAAATCATTTTATTTGCATTGCTAAAAGCATAACACATATGGCACAATCAGAATGATGCAAAACTAACTGATGTCAAAATTATACTTGCTCAATACCTGAAGCACGGAAGAGAAAACTTATACAAAGTTGCATTTACATGGTCAACAAGTGTTATAATATATGAAAGTTAATGGGTAAGTATCTGATAGAAGGGTTTTAACTTTTTAACAGTTTCTATAAATCACTTATGCATCACCTGGAAGGACGAAAAATAAAAATCAATGGGAGATGGTTGGTTGGTAGCATTGTTTTAACTACTAGAACATCAAGAGATCTATGATAATAAACAAGCACACAGTTGGTTCTTTTCAGACAATGACAGTCTGCTGAATTGTAGGTTTCACTTTAACATAGGTTTCTCGGAGTAGGAAGTAAATCAGGTGAGCACTGGGAGAGCAATCTCCAAAAGCTCACATGGACTTGCAACATATAACACGGATAAAGAGTTCGATAATCTTGGCAATATATTTTTCTACTAACATCATTCCATAAAATGCATGACATGCCTTGTTACCCAATTACATAAAACTACTACAGAAACAAACAAGTGTACCTTATTTGCAGCAGCAGCCTTTAGCTTCTCCCAAAATGCATCTGTTAAGTAGCAAGAAACATATACAACTATAAGTCTCTGAAATCATGCCTTCAGATAATTCTGCCACTAGATATGTATAATGCAGTCTGTCAAGACCATTTTCTATGTGTTATCCAAATAGGGTTGCAACGAATTGTATAAGCATATCAGTTGGTTGCAGTATATGACGATCAGGGAGTAGATTACAAACTCAGTGACTGGTAGCCAACTAGATTCATTTTACTCAAAGTGCTCAAATTACACCGTAAATCTAAAATGGGTGAAAGATATGGTAAAAGAGTTCCTGAATTTGATGACTTTCTCCATAATGATCTTTGAATTTCAAATTTAATGAGAACCCAAATATATTAGGTGTATATCAAGATTCAAGATTTTATCTAGTAAAATAGAAATTTGATTACCTTGTCCATCAATACCTCCAGTAACACTTCCTCTCGAGCCTCCTTCAATTTGTGAATTTATCCGCTCTCTTAGCTATTGTGATGCATAAATTGTTAGAACAGAGAAATCCAGAAAACTTATGAAGATTATCCAAAAGAGGTATGATGAAAGGAAAATACCCTGCGTGATGCCTGAGTAGTTAATTGTCTTTGTATTTCCGACTCAGCCTAGAAATATAAAATCACGACATCTGTTAAACTAATCAGCAAGTATTGGTAGTTTATGTTGATAGGTATGCTAGATAAAAGAAATAATATCACAATGTCGATTATATTGACTTTTTAATGAGATTGTAGGACTCTAATTGGCGATGATATCATGTTAAAAATGGTGAAGTTCTAGGTGTTCATTCTAGAATAATATATGAACATTGTAATGTAAGAATGTCAGATTAGCAGAGTACATGAAGTGCAACTTTAGCTATCACAATAAAGATTGGTGTGGTATGCATCAACAGGACAAAAAGTTAGCACAACTTTCATTATTAGGGGTCAATGTTACAAAAGGAATGATAGATTGATGACCATTTTTAGTCATATGATAAGGATATGGTGGATGAAGTGTCAGCAGCACAAAGTATCTTATGCAATCAGAAGATCCAACTGAAGTCCAAGGGTAGAAGTTCCATAGGACGCAGAAGAAGGCTATCATTAATAATGTTGTTGGATCACCAAAATGACAACATATACACATTAAGCTTAAATATGGGTGTCAAGATGGATGTGCTATCCCATAAGGATGGATAATTGGAATGATGATATCTTGGAGAAGGTTAGCCCCCTGAATCAGCCACAAAGGGTTACAATTCGTCGGGTGTGTTGAGGTGCAGCACATTGACAATATATATAATGCATACTCCGAGTGCAGTTGGATGGTTCAAGTTTTCATTTTATATGATACGTGGATGTTCGTCTCTACATCTTAAGATACGTTTAAGGAGAGATCTTAGCATATTTGCAAGCTTGTTCATCCTCTTTTTACATTGTATAGTGACAGAAAGCAAATTAGGTAGGCTGCTTAATTACTTGGAGATTCACCACTAGGTCCTGTGTCCTGTTCCTGAAAACTTCATCTACAAGAATAACAAGAAACATCTAATAGTTTATTGCTTTAATGCAAATCTCAATAGCATGTCTTGGTGGTTGTCAATTGTGAACTGACCAGATTAAACTTTTATGAAACGAGTTGGGCACTCTCAAAAAAAAAAAACTGAGACCTTATTTATAACTAAAAACCAAATCTTCCATGTGAGAACCAATCATATAAGGTTGGTTGTTACCTTGTAGACATACGCCATGAGAAAATAACCAATCATTAATCAACCTTCTTCACATCCAGAAATAACATATGTCAAGAGGGTTGTTTATTATCTATTTAATGTTTTCACAAGTTCACATTGTGTACATTCTATATAACATTCTCTGTTAGTAACATCCACAGTTTCAAACCCTAAATCTCCAAACATCCAATGAATTCTTGGCAAGCTGCCAGTTTCTATTTTTCCAAAAAGGCTCAGCCATAACTGATTTGTGCTACCAACTTAAACATCCAACAGTAAAACATGAAGTACAAATGCTATATCACCCATTGCGAATTAAATATATAGAGGTGGAGTGTTTCACATGAACACTCATGAGTGGGTATTAAAGACATAAATCAACATTTTATCCCTCACTACGAAGTTTTGGTTATTAAGTTTTGCCTTTGATATAATCATTTTAGTATGGCTGGTGTTCTTGAACAAAACCACAATGCATATCTCCAACTGGAATATGAAGCAATCCTCTATAGGCATCTCTCAAGATAGCAAACAACAATATATTCAACTAAATACTCCTATCTTTGCTGTAATCTGTTGCACCCTCGCTTCCAGAAGAAGAGCCACATTTATATATCATATACAAAATTCAGGGCTCTTCAATTGTAAAACTGGAGTGAGTTGTGTTGCTAATAGATCAACAATAGTTTCCAAATGAAAATGTTTGTTAAAAAGCTCAATGCTATCAATTTTCTCAAAACAAGTTCCAATCGAATCCGATTTCAGAATTGAAAAATAGCCATATGATTCTCCGAAATTAAAGTGTACGAAAAGAAAATAAAAACGTATGAAGGGTTACACAGCAATTACAGCAAACATTAATAGGGCACAAACATCATTGGCGAGCGATTTATAAGTTAATAAACAGAGAAAAGTCGAGAGATTTACATTATAATCGCGAGTACGGACAACAGGAAAGAGATGAAGAACCCGTTGAAATTCAAGCTCATCCATGGTTTCCCTTTTCTTCTTTGAAAGTTGAGGTTTCTAGGAGGAAAGACCTTACTTATTGATATGTTGATGATCAAGGGTTCGCAGGATCGGGTTGCTATAAAATCTAAACAGCCGCGTATGTCATGGTTTAACTTCAATGTTTTTTGGCTCAACACATTTGGATGCTTCAACAAGACAACTTGACATCGCCGACCCAATCTTGGGTAACTTGGAGGGTCAAAAGCTAACATGTACATGGGTGTCTCAAATTCCAATAGTCAGAGATCCGAATTTCAACCCAACTGAAAATAAGATATTTGTGTAAAACCAGAAGAATGTTACGGAATTCGAAAATTTGAAACCCGACATTTGAAAATGGGTAGTTGGGTTTTTTTTAGTAACAACAACTTTATTAACGAAACCACCGGAGGCTAGCAAGAGGCTAGCACTTATAACAAAGCCGATAAGGGGCTGATACACCAAGCGTTCCAATCGAGATTATTACAAGACTTCGATCTAACTCTAAGCCAGTTATACGAAAAAAGCACGATCTCCTTGGAAAGCACGACCGGGCTTTTAGGAGATTTGTTGAAAACCAGCGCATTGCGATTCGCCCATAACACCCAAATGAACGCCATGAGAATTACCTCCAACGCATCCTTCTCCGTCTTCCCTTTGAACGGGAATTGTGCCGCAAAAAAGAACTCCGCCAAGTTGGAAGCTTGATAAGGAAAACTCGACCACCAATTCCTTACATAATCACCGATCTCCTTTGTAGACGAACAGCCGAATAAGATATGATCTTCCGTCTCCGGCTGGCTTAGGCAACAAGGACATAAAATCGAATTCACCCGGATACCTTTTATGGACAAATTATTTCTAGTGGGGAGTCTTGATTTCGATAGACACCAGATAAGCATATTTACTTTGCCAGGCACTAATTTATTCCACATCGTTATCCTTCCGTCGGATTGTAATACACCTTCCTCGATCATACATCGGCACGTCTTGACCGAGAATAAACCATCCTCGGATAGCTTCCATCTCCGATCACCATTCAATTCTACAGATCAGAAATTGTTAACATGAAGACCAACTTTACGGTTGAGAGAATCCCAGTTAGCAATTGCTCCCAAAACACCCAGCTTCTTGCAACCGTCGCTAAAAATACCCCCGTTAGCACCATGAAACGCCATAATGCAATCTTGCCATAAACTGCCCTCTTTGTTAAGGAACCTCGACCACCACTTTGCAAGGAGACTCCAATTAAGCACCTTCAAACTACCAATGTCAATACCACCTTTGTCCATTTTGTTACAAGCAACCTTCCACTTAATCCAGATTAATTTCTTGCTCTGACCAATCCGATCCCAAATGAATTGGTTCCTTAGACTTTCAAGGGTGTTGAGCACACTTTCAGGAGCTTTAAACAGAGAAAATAAATAGACTCCCAAAGTACCAAGAACAAATTTACAAAGAATCTTTCTGCCACCAAAGGATAAAGACTTGGCCTTCCAAGCAGAAAGTTTCTCTTGGAACTTAACAACTAACTTGTTCCAATTACACCTTATTCCCATTTGCGCACCTACCGGGAGGCCCACATATAGAAACGAAATAGAAGAGAGCTTACAATTCACACTTCGAGTGAGGAATTATGACTCACCAGCACCCGTCCCAATGCCGAACAGACAACTTTTTCTGCAAGTTGATTTTCAGCCCCAAGAGAGATAAAAACACCGTAGCAACCGGATCAAGTTTAAACCGTTAGATAACGACTAGTCACTCATAAAAAGAGCATCATTAGCATATTGAAGAATCTCAATACTGGGCCACCTTTGGGAAGAGATAACCCGTTAAAGACCCCTTTAATGCGAGCTTCATACATAACCACCCTGAGAGCATCCATTGCGATAATGAAAAGAAAAGGGGCAAGAGGGTCACTTTGCTGCACTCCCTTTTCCATGAGGAACTTCTCTTTGAGTTTGATTTGGCCTCACGATCCGTCTGAAAGTTCAAAATATATATACACATAATTTTAAAATATTATATAAATATATTTAGGCATTGTTTGGCACATATATTTTTATGTATATGTTCGGATGACCAGCTTACTTATAAATTAGCTTATTAATATGTTATTTGAAATGATGGTTTAGGGGTTTATTGTGACTTTCTTTAATTATAACTCTCATTAATATTAATTATTATTTATTACTATTATTACTATTAATAAATACTAATAAATATAAAATAAAAATAAATTATTAAAAAGTTTAAATTTA